TTACTACTGTTTGTACTAGACATTAACCACATTTAATTATACTTAACAGCCGCTCCAACCTCAACCTCAAAACTGACGAGAGCAGCAGGATCAACTGCAAAAGTGGCCGGATCACCACAGCCATCATCAGCCTCCCAACACCCCCTGCTTTAACCCCTGATGGAGACGGGCTCCACGGGCCCCCACAGCGGAGGCCGCCCCAACCTCCAAGTCACCCACCACCCTTGAGCATTCAGACCACAACAAGCTCAGCTGGCGCCAACATCGTCAAAGTCTCGGCTCTGTGACTGTGTGGCTGACAGATGTAACTCACCCCAGCAGGGGGAAGAAAAGAAGAGGAGGAGGAAGCAGGTAACACTACATTCATGGACGTACCGTGTTCCCTAATACAGGGTCAGTGAGAAGAGGGGTGTACTCCAGAGGACTCACCAGTTATGGAGACATTATTGAGGTAGAGGACTGTAGATATGTGACCTGAGAATCACGCTCGTGTCATGTCGTGTATGTACTGTAGATACGATGAGAGCTGCTGCATTTCTAAACGTTTCCTACGGCAGTGGAGATGGTGGAAAATAACTGACGATATTGTGCAACTGGCAGAAACATCAGCAAACCCTGTTGGCCATCACAAATTCACAGTAAATTTGACGTGAATTCACAGTGGAAAAAGAAGATTTGTTGGATTAAATACTGAAGAACAAAGCTGTTGAAGCGGATCGGTCATGTTTGTGTTATGTGATTGTCTATAGTATTTTGAGAAACATAAACTGTTTTAGTTTAAAGTCGCCATGCCTGATGCTGCTAATATCATCCCTGTAATGTGTATTTCATTTGTTGCAGACTGGAAACAGCGTTTCTTTGTTTTCGTTGGATAATTGTATCGATACATTATGTTGATTGCTCAAACCAAACTGGGATTTTAGTTGTATTTTGAAAAATCCCACTGAATGTGGACTGAAGGCTGACGGTCTTCGTACTGCATTGAAACAGAGCAGTGGTTCTCAGCCTTGAGCTGACCGGAGAATTACTATAAAGCAAACGTGTAATTTAATGTTGAAGGATGAGGTTACAGTACATCCCATGAAAAGACCAAAACCAACCACTTGATTAGTTGAAATTCATTCATCCTAATCTTAACTGTTTGTGTTACAAAAACACAGGAAAATAACTTGTTTTAAATAATTTTCTCCTGCAGATTTATATATGTGTTGCAGTAGTTTGTACAGCAGAAGGACAATGTGCATGAGGGTTCTGACATGTTAATGTAAAGAAGAAACAAGCCATGCAGTGAAACAGTGATAATAATAAAAGGTATATAACATGGCACATTTTGGGAGGGGAAATACTACAACATTTGGTTTCAGTATAACAGCAAGTTTTAGTAAGGCCAGGATACTGAATAACATGATTGTATCGACAGTGTCCCAGAATGAAGTATCGTTTATGGCTCAGTCACACTACAGTAAAACTGTTGCATTCAGCAACCGATTGCAGGTAGTTTCAAAAACTAACTGGGTGCCCAATTTTGATTGTAAGGTGATTTTGTAGGTTACCTGCTCCGTGGCAACCTGTGTCCAAACAGTCTGACTCAAACCGACTCCAGTCACTCTCACACAGACTGGTTAAAGCTTGCAAATAATTGCCGTCTAATTTATAAATGTAGACAGATTGCCAACAAGTAGCAATCAATCTGAGTCAGTCTGTGCAGGACTCATCTGTGCCTCATCTCTTTGCAGTTGATTTTAACACCAATTGTTGCCAACTGCTTGTGTTCCTAAATAAAAGCAAAGCTGCATCTGTATCATTTCGCTGTCCTGCAGCAACCATCACATCACTATTTGTGGAGAAATTTCAGAATTTCTGTTTCGAGTCTATGAGGTTGTAACTGGACTCTGAATGTAAGTAGTTCATTTAAATTTCTGTTGAGTGTAAATTTCTGTGTATGTAGATAGCAACAGATTTGCAACAGACAGCAACAGATTCACAATTTGCCAACTGGAGCCCCTTCTGTCACAAACTGACAGCAAACTGAAGACGGCAACTGGGGTTGCAGACCTGGTGCCCATCTTTGAAAAAGCCATTTTGAAGGAAGCAAGATTTCAAGTCAACTGCACACACTCACAATATCTTTGGTGTCATGCTCTCCAAGCACTCTTTCCTGGTGTGACTGTAGCAATTTCCAATCTTAATAACACCAAAATTTAATTTCAAATATCAAAAAAAGTATTTTCAATTTGTTTTTCACAACTTAAGATTGGAAATCGTGTTTGCACAGATTCACTTTGATCGTCTCTTGATTTTAAATCACTGCATTTCACCTTTTTTCCTGCCATTGGCAACATTGGGGAAACTTTACAGATCAAATTAGGTCACATACATGGCATGAATTGATAGGATGTTTACATTTAAATAGCCATCAT